ATTTGTTTTTGTTTCTAATGTCTCTGTAAAGCACTTTGAATCACCTTGTTGTTGAATTGTGCTATACAAATAAACTTGCCTTGCCTTATTAAGCATCCCCTGCCTGTGACCTGCAGCATGTACCTGCAGTCTGGGTCAGAGCTATGTTCCTTGTCTTTAAACCACCTCCCTGCTACATTTCCCACATTCCCTGCCTTTGACGCTGGAGCAGGATGCTGTTGTGGAGAGGTTCGGAGTTTTGTTTCTTTTTATCTACGCTTTGTGAAAGTGTGAAATTAAGCTGAGCTTCGTGCAGCTGCGCTGAACGCTGGGCAGTTTTCTCACTGCTTCAGGATTTCCCCTCAAACTTGAGGTGCACCCACCTTCTGACATCGCTTCCTGCTACACGGCTCCTGATAGCCCGCAGAGGGCTGCGGGGGCGTGGTCTTGCTGCAGATGGAGTTATAGGCAGATCGGAGACGTTTACACGTCTCGTTAAGGTTACAAGCCTTCGCCGCATCCAGACAGGGGTTACAGGGTTTCCCTGCCTCGGAGCAGGGGCTCATCTTGGTCAGAGATGAATCTGCAGAGAGAGAAGAGATAAAAGATAAATTAAAGAGACTCACACACGTCTTTGTGCCCGAGCTTGCACTAATTTGTGCACTTAATGAAATAATCTGCTGAAAGATAATTGAACGTTTTCAGAGAGCGACTTGACTTCAGCAAGGCTCCAATCAGCAAGGCTGTAATCACTCCACTCGCGGCACTCTCGCGTCTCCCAAAAGACACTTTTAGACTGAAAGCTTCGATTTCTGTTTTTATGATTAACCGTGTTTTTCTGCTTCTCCACTTACTTTGAAAAGTCCGAAGGCCGGAGGTCAAAGAAAAACAAAAACAAAGAGAAACTCAGAGGAGGAACAGAAAGTCACCTTCGACAAAATAATAAGAACACTACTACAGCATGCACCATTAGACAGGTGAATTTGAATAATAACTACAGAGAAGCTTCGCTTGTTGTAGAAAAGTGAACATTTCGCCTCCTGTCTATTCTGGCCGGGCTTGTCCTCCAGAGAGGAGGTTAGCCTGGGAACGCCTTGATGGTTCTGGATAAGCTGGAGGACGTGGTGAGAAGGAGGTCTGGGCTTCTCTGCTGCTGCCCCCGAGACCCAACTTCAGATCAGCAGAAGAAAATAAAAGAATGATTTAATGTGTTATTTTAGATTTGAACTTTTATTGAAGTGGATGAACTAGCTTCAATAATGCACGGCGCATTGCTCAGTCACAGTTTTAATAACACGTGAACTTTTGTACTAACATGTTTTCATACAATATTTAACATTAGTTTATTTAAAGTGTTTTTCTGCCTTGCTGTCTGGAGTATAACATGTAATGTTGATAATGAAGCGGCATGGTTCATTGTTGAAGAATCTTTTTTTTAGTAGACGAAGAAATTGGTCGCCAGGAACATCTCTGATTTATCTAACCTGCGATCTTTGTGTAAACCCAGTGACATGTTTGTACTGAATAACATATTAAAATCACACGAACGATGTGTGACTGATTGCTCCGTCAGCCCTCTAGCCTGCACCCGCATGCCCAATAATCACAGGATGAGAGCAGAGTGATCACAGATCACGTCCATCAACGTGATTGGACAGGTTAAAGGTCTTCATTGTAACTGTGTTTCTTCCTAAAACAGAAAACACTAAATACAAAGCTGAGATTTTATAAATGATATTTTTATCAGGATGTCTGAGTTGTTGTGATGAATTCAGATAAACTTAAATGAAGAAGAGCTGTCTTTGGTACGCTGTACGAGCTCATGTGACTAATCCTCTGTAATCCTGCGTAAACCACTTACTGCTTAAGTTTGCTCCATGAGTCAATCAGTCTGCATCCTTCTTCAAATATATAAAACTACTTTTATATATTGGACGTGTTTAATAGAGAGACTCAACATCCACACAGAAACATTTTAACAACTCAGACTGTGAAGAAAGAAAACCACACAAAACAGCAATCAGCGCCGCACACAGACCCACAAACAGACACAGAACATGCCTCCGTCAGTCAGGGCTCCCTGCTCTCAGAGCCAGCTCACTGTGACACAATCCTAAACAGCACAGCTATCACGGTACTGGGTCGTGTGACCCAGTGTTTGAGTTTTTATGTATTTTTTTGTATTTATTTTCAGTCTAGTTAAATTCTAGGTTGCTGTTCAGGCCTTATTTCTTAGTTATTTCTGTCATCTCCGCCTGTACTCAGTCTCCCTGGTTCCTGCGTCTATGTTTCATGTCTATGCAGTTAAGTTCATGTCATGTTTTATCTCCATGTCTATGTCTCCGTGTTTCCTGTTTTATTTTGTAAGAGTCTGGTGTTCTTTGTTCATTGTAGTTAGTGTTTCTCTCCCCTGTATTGTCATTATGTTTCATTCGAGTCAGCTGTGTTCTCATGTGTCTCCACTTCCCCTGATCACCTCATGTGTGTATTTAAGTCCTCAGTCTTCCTTTGTTCGTTGTCGCGTTGTCTGTGTACTTCCCCTCTGGTCAAGTTAAGTGTTTTTCAGGATTCTGTGCAGTTCAGGTTTGCCATTTGGTTTCTGTTGTTTTTCATGCAGCCGCACGATGAGGTTCTGTGCAGGTGATGTCTGTTTCGTCATGCCATTTGGTTCACAGTTTCCATGCATCTGCACAGCATTCTGTTCACAGTGATCATAGTTATTCCTTACAGTCAGGTTAGTATTTTTCCAGTTTAGGTTTTTGGTTAGTTGCAGTTTGTCCCTGTTATGTTTTGTCTACTCCCTCCTGCATCAGCCCAAATAAAGGCTCTCTTTCAGTTTAAGTTCACTCCTGTCTCCTCGCCTGTGTTCGCGCCTGGGTCCACCACACACTCTCCACACGGTCTGCCCCCGCTGGCCGTGACAACAGCATCCACCTGCTCACATCCACCCAACAAACAGCAGCACAGAAGTCTGTTCTTCCTCCGTCAACAACTTCAGCTCCATCAGTGCACTCACCATGTGACCTAATTAGGACTGTAACAGGAGGCAGTGTTTGTGGTTCTGTGTCCTGCAGCTGTGTTAGGGTTTAACAGTGAGCACGCTGCAGGAGCAGTGAAAGTGCTGTAGTCGTGTCCATGTCAGGTCTGAGTAGTGCAATCACATGTACCCACATGTGATTACATGTAATCGCCTGCATTCACATGTACAGCGGTGCTGATTAGCATCTCCTGCCTGTGAGGCAGACTGCTCTGACCACCTTCGCTGTGCAGGACGTTTCTGATGAGCGCATGATACACAGGGACACGCCCAGACTGGCTGACCCTGGGTCAGCTGCTAACAGGCAAATAGTCTTAAGTGAAGCAGAAGCAGGCCGAAGGACTGGCGGCATGTCTGACAGGTCTCTGCTCACTGGCTACAGAACATTACAGGGAGAGGGGGTCAGCTGGCGGCCTGTGAGGTGCTGATTAAACGATATCATCAGCAACGTGGTAAGACACCATCAGCATCAGTGCAGCTTCTTTGTTAATGAGCTGAGTTTCATTGAGTCTGATCTGTTTTACCTGAGTGCTGATTAAATGTGACTGACAGGCTGAGGTTTCTTCTCATGAGCGGCTTCATCCAAATACTGAACATCCTGAGTTTAATGGGTTTAAATGAAGCGCTCTCTGATCATGACCTGCTCCGTTTTTCACTCATGGAATTTATCAGAGTGGCTTTGCATGATTCACAGTTAAGAATCATCCTTCTGTATCATCCTGTTTCCTGATGGCCAACGTCTGGAAGCCTACTGAGGGACAGGACACAGTGTGTGTGTTCATTTCTTTACATTTACTTTATGCCGCCAATGTGTTCTTAGACTTTAATTAAACACTGGCCACTTTATTAGTTACTCCTTGTTAGGATGTGGATGGGCTCTTTTCATTCAGAGCTGCTTTAACTCAACAAGCTGCTGGAAACGTTCCTCAGACTTTGTTCCATGGTATGACATCATCATGACATCATCACACAGTTTCTGCAGGTGTGTTGCTGCCTTTGTGATGAAGGTGAAGGTGCTCTGTTGGACTGAGTGCAGCGAACTTGTCATGTTCAGAAACCAGACTGTGTTGTAAGTCTGAGTTTCTTGTTCTTACTGACAGGAATGACACAATGTGGTCTCCTGCTGCTGCAGCCCATCTGCTTGAAGGTTCTTCTGTAGACGTTGGTTGTAATGAGTACCTTTCTATCAGCAGTCTGCTGTTTCTCTTCTGACCTCTGAGCTCAGCAGGGCGTTTCCTCCCAGAGAGCTGATGTCTGTGATGGTGGTTGGTGGTAAAATCGCAGCAGATTAGCAGATTGTGCAACACTCAGACCAACAACCACGCCGCCCTCAGGCCCTTAAAGCAACTTTCTTATCATTCTGATGCTCAGTTTGAACTCGTGCTGCGCCACTCTGCAGATTGGTGTATATCCAACGCCAGGTAAATACAGGGCCAGTACCACTGATACCGATGCCAATAGTGATATTTTTAACTATTTCTACAGGCAGCTGATGTCGAGGAGCGCAGTGTGTCCTGATTTATGAGATGAACCATCATCAGGTTGCAAATTCTGAAGGCATTTTAAGTATCACTAAATCACTGTGACTTTTACTTTTAAAATAAGGAGTTAACACAGTAAAACACACCTTCCAGCTTTTATTTTGAAACTGAGCTGAAGAGTTGTCTGGCTCAGCGTCTGTAGTTTAACTGTGCTGCAGGCTGTAAATAAAGCAGACAGTTAGCACAGACATGTTTCATAGCTCATGTTCGGGGTGTAGAATTTTATTTAAAAGATTACTTATTTAACACGCTTCAGTGAGCTGCACATAGAGGATAGAAACAAAGCATCGATCTGATACTATCGATACCTGGACGAGACCACCTCTAGTTTGAATTTCAGCATGTTTGCACACCTAAAGGCTCTGAGCTGCTGCCGTGCGATTGGCTGATTAGACATCAGTGTTAACGAGGGGTTGAACAGGTGTACCTAATAAAATGGGCGGTGATTATGTATTTAATGGTGTGCTCAGAGACTGGGTGGGTGGGTCGTGATGTTTGCGGCTCTACCTGCAGCAGCAGAGCTGAGCACATGTCTGTTGCCCTCCAACATGATCAGGATCTACAGAACAACGACACCTTCTCGTCTCCAGGGCTACGGTGAGATCCAATCAAGCGTGTGAATGTCACACCAGCATGTCGAGTGTGAACACACACGTGTGGACACCATTAAGTCTCAGCCTAACACATCCAATCACACAACTCCAATGGAAAAGACAGCTGTATCTGCGGCTCAGGGACAGATCATGAAGCGTGGCATCATGACATTTCCCTCAGTGTTTTAGCAAATTTACATCAGTGACTGACAACGCCTCCAGTGCTGAGCAGAGAAATCAAAGGCTTCCTGTGAGGCAGAAAACTGGGCACGATCAATGAAACCCCAGAAAAAATAATCTCATGCAGAGAATCCTCGAAGGAGCGGAGCCTCCAAACCTCAGAAATATGAATTAAATTGGCTTTTCCTCGGTGGAGGTATGAGCTCAGTGCGCCAGTTTCTTTGTTTACACA